ATGCCAGAACGGCTATGTATCTTAAACACATGCTCCCCCTTCAAAATGACTGTGGTTTCATGTTTATGGCATCAAGGAACATGGTATGTGAATTGAGGATCAAGACTAGGACTGACAGAGTATGTTATTGTCCAGAGTGCTTTGTTCACAATAGACTTTATTTGAATGGGGTAACATTTTAAAGATCTCTGATTATCTGTGGTTCTGATGTTCCTGCCTGGCCATAACTGGTGAGAAACTAGCTATGCACAGAATGAAAGGCTGAGCAACACAGGTAAGGAGAATATCCACAAAATGCAAGGAATTTCATACTAGAGCAACTGAAAAGACTGAGAGACTGAATTCAACATATTTCTGCAGTGCACATCATACACACATACGTATATGCACAACTGGAGAATGAGTGCCTATGATACCCAACACAAACATAAAACTGGGAACGAGTACCCTGTACTTTTGTAATGCAGCTCTCATATGCATACTGCATACACACATAATCACATGCCTCACACATCAGCAGTGAGCATGATACACACAGACAGAACAAGCACTGAGGAACCTCACTTCTGTAAAGAATGCTGCAGGTACATGCTCCACAGCTGGCCCTCAGTGCCATATGCCTTCACAGCGAGCATTAGGTAACCCAAAGCTGGGACTCAGCACTTCCCCATTGTGTGACACACATTTTCCACCAGCTTGGAATTCAGAGACCTTGCTTCGGAGAACTACACACATAAGCCTTATCAACAAAGGGCAGTACCATGCAGAATGGGTGTGGGAGAGGAGAGGAAAGGCATCCCACCCAGGAGGTGTGGGTAACGGTTCCTTTCAGATACCACCCAGGCTTCCTGCTAAGACCAGTTCCCCCTGAAGCAAACAAGAATCTGCAAATAATGGGCCTGGTTTGCCCCTAGTGTAACTCAGCTATGGAATTTTACAGGGCCCTGGAATTTGCGCCAAAGAACGGCCTGATCTGAAATAACAACAAACTGCAGTCTTGCTTCTTTCATCCCAACAGATTTTTCCTCCTACCCTGCCACCTGCCAGGGCACCCTCTACAAAAGGGCTGGCCAAGCTGGCGTGCTTTGGATCACCCCAAAAATCCTCTTGTAAAACCATACCAGGATAAAAGAAAATGACAAAATAGTACAGACAAAATCAGGTAGGTGAATGAATGGTTCAGGTGTGGAAGATGAGCTCATGAATATCCTTTCACTCCCATCTGTTCCTCTTTTCCCCACCATCCAAAACCAACCCCCCCGCAGTTCCAAGATTTGAACTCCAGCATGAAAGACCCATCTGCCGCAAATCTTTTAACTCCTTCCCCTCTAATTCTAAGATGCCCAAAGCTGTCCAAAATACTGGTGTATCCACACTCCCCAAACCACATGGCATTCATAAAAAAGGATGTTCTAGTTTGGAGGTCCAGCAAATATAATTACTTTTTGAATACATATGCCAACCCAAGACAGCCTGAAGAATTGTACACGTATGTGCACATTAGGTATGTGTGGGACAGTGGGAGTCTAACCAGGTGGATAAAGACACTGGACGACTCCACTGTCATTTAAGGACTGCACAAGGGACCCTTTTTACCCATTACAGCACTAGATGAACTATTTTACAGTCAATGTGCATTGCTCAAATCTTGTGGTGAGGGGGCGCCCTATGAATAAATTTGATATGCTGACTTTTTCAGTGGCCCAGAAAATGGTTGCATCAATTAGTTTCAGGATTTCAAAAGTTAATCCAAGCAGGTCTCCCTTATCAGTAGGCCCAGCCCGCTGTTGTAGCAGGGCAGTTACTGTGTGAACTTAGCACATCATGCTTAGTGATATAGTGAAGACTCAGAAAGAAGCAGGCAAGAGAGCAAGCTCATTTCCAGCTGCTCCTGGCGTGGTTTCCATTTGTAGCACAGGCTCAGTACTAAGGACTAGGTCTGTGTCCACTACAGTCAATGCAAATGCTCTCACTGAAGGCTTCTGGGGGACAAGATCAGACACCGAAAGCTCAGGTAAATCGTGTCTCTGAGTCTGCTTAAAACTCTTGGCTGCCAAAATACAGGGAAAGGGAAAGAAGTAACCAATAGATGTGCTCTGGGATGGAAGACATTTCAAACCATTTTTTTTTAAATTTTATTTTTAACTGAAATTTAGAAATAAAACTATCATTTTAATTTGTTTCAATTTAAAATAACTGTTGGATTAAAAAAATAACTCCCTTTTATGTAAAATTAAACATTACTTTTAGTTTTTATCATGGAAAACTGGAATACAAATGTTGATTTCCCACAGGAAAATAGATTTATTTTCATCAGAACTGACAGTTTCAAATGAAAAATTGTATTTTTAATAAAACCATATTTTTGACCAGGAAAACTTTAAATTAAAAAAAACTGTTAGCCCTCTGTAAGAGTGAAAGTGCTTCCTTCCACATGTCTCCACATACGTCTGGTTCCAGAACCTCAATCAGCCTATGCATCAGGAGGCTGCCATTTCGGAGAGTTTGCAAGACTGAACAAAGGTAGGCCTTGGAAAGCCTTGAAGTTGTATAACATTTGTGTCACAGTGTTGTGTCTGCAGTATGAAAACATTATGAAGATAGTGCTGCCACATTTGAATGCTGCCACATTCAAAGAATCATGACCTTGGATAAAAAAAACATGAGGTTTGGGGTTTTTTTAAGTACGTTTTGGGTTTTCTTTATTTGAGATCAACCCTGTAAAAATTAGGCAACTGTAAAAATGTTAGAATGAGTGGCATCTAAGGTCCCTGTAAGTGGGGCTTGTGTGCCATTAAAAAATGTCCGTAGCTAGTGAAAAGTGTGTGTGACATGCTGACACAGTTGTCACACTGTGTTCTAAGGTGCTGATTTCTGAAGGACAACTTTTGAAGTATGGTGATTACAGGGCTCACTGGGGGCATCTACACGTGTGTTTTAATATGCAGTAGCCTATTCTACTGCGTATTAAAGCAGTGCTTAAAAAACAGGCTAATGCGTTAATGTGCAATAGAATAGGCTACTGCACATTAAGTGTCACCTAAAAAGCGCTTAGCACAACCTAATGTGCATTTATTTAGTACCTCATTTAGGGTCCCTAAACATGTTCCTGTGCTGAAACTTTCACACTTTAATTCACAGTCTTGCCGTGACTGGTAATGCTTCTTAAAGTCCCATCTCCTGCACTCATATTATTGCCAGTCTCAATATTTCTAAAGTTCAAAGATCTCCGCTCATATAAGCACAAATTATTATTTTTTAGCTAATCTCATGATTTGTGAGGGCTGACTCCTGATTTTGGAACATGTGGGGGTGACAGCACTGGCGTCATTAGGGTCCCTTTAGCTCTGGGCCTGCCTGCACCCTAAAGGCAAACATCTGATGCCCACAGCTGGCTCCTGGCACTAAATGAAGGGCACAGAGTGGGAGCTCCCCCGACAAGACGTGTGTGGGAAGGAGTGGAAGCTGCTGGCCCTCTATTCTAGCCAGGCCCTTCATGCTGTTGAGGTGAGCGGGGTCCCTGGGTCTCGGAGGTCTGGGAGGGGGGAGCCCCGCGAGGCGGAACCCTGGAGCCGCTGCCTTTGTTGCCCGCCCGGGACGCATGTGAGAGCGGACGGCGCGGACTGCTCCGAGCGGCGGACCGCGTCCCCTAGCAGCAGGCCAGCTGCACCCGGAAGTGGCTTGAATGTCAAGAGGTGCCGCCCGGGGTAGGGGCGCGCTGTTCCCTGCGAGCCGCGGGGTCGGAGCAGGTCGCTGCAGGGGCAAGGGGCCGGGGAGGCTGAGGGGAGTCGCTCAGGGGCGCGGGGCGGGCGCGGGCCCGTGTCCGTGTCCGTGTCGTGCGGGAAGGGGTGACCCTGGGGCCTCCTGTGAGCTGCCCGCTCTGCCCCGTCCCCTCCCGCCCTGGCGGGAGCGTCCCCCCGAGGAGCTCAGGCCACGGCCCCCGCTCCCGGGCGCTGCAGCTCCCCGCCTGCTCTGCTTCCCCACGGGGGATGAGCCGGAGCTCCCGGAGGGAGGCGGGCCTGTGCGTGAGGCGGGTGGCTCTGTCCTGGCTGTGGCGAGCCGGAGCAGCGTGGCAGGGGCCCGTTCACACAGGAGCTGATGTGAGGTCTCCAGCTAATTTCACCACTGGAATAAAACCCTCTTCAAAATGGCCCCAGCTCCCCAACGCCAGGCAGAAGCTCTCTGCACATGGAGGGTTATAAGGAAGTCAGATGAACTAGGCTAGTTTTGCCTGGTTGAAGGCTTCAGGGCATTGCAGCAGGCCTGAGGCCTGGGTTGGAGTGTATTCCTCCTCCAGGCTTGCACTTCTGCTTCAGATGTATCTAGAGGGTTTCCTGTGCCAGGGAGCCCTAGCCAAGCTCCCAATATACCTGACCAGGAAGGAGGCTCTGGCTGGGAGGACCCCTAGGCCATTTTGCTGTCCCTGATTCATTAACATTTCTAGGCAGAGTTTCACTGGGTTGTGTCCACTGGCTCCTTGGATGTGTTTAAGGGCCACTGGGCCCTGGGCCTCGTGTCCCCTTTTAGTGCACCTGTTTTAAACCTCTGACCTCACTCCTCTCCCTATTTTCTCTTTTGTTGTTCCCAAATCAGTTGATGTGTCCTCAGTGGCCTCCCTACTAAGGGAGGCTTATGCTTCTTCCTTGATGGGCCCAAGCCCGTGATCCTTGATGGGCGTGATCCTTGATGGGCCCAAGCCCGTGATCCACTAGGCACATCAAAAGGTCTGTGCTAGGGGCTCCACAGAGCAAATGCTGTCTGTGGATACAGAACCTGTTAGCTACGAGCTTGTAGGTAACCTGGTGCAGACACCTTACAGAGCAGCATTTGAACATGAATCCATCTTTCAGGGTGGGAATTAGATTTTGTGCCCTTGTAAGATGCCAGCAGAACAGCCCTGGGAACTGAAGGCCTATATTCAGAGCAGGTACAGCATGGAAAGTGATGGTTCACAGTTCTTTTGCTGGACACACAATGTCTGGGGGGTCAGAAGGGACTCCAGCCTTCACATTCAGTCTTTGGCCTCATCACTAAGAAAGTAGATGAGGTGGTTGATGTCAGTTTTCAAGGTGGGTTTTTGGTATTGGCAGCAGTCTGCTTGGGTGGAGAGGGAGATCCCAACACATTTCATTTTCATTCATGAACAGTCAGTGAATAGCAGCTTTAACTCACTTTTAGCCTTTTCTGGATTGGAGCTGGCAAACATTGAGATGAATGTTCCTTATCCATTACCAGTCCCTAGACCAATCCAGTCATTTGTGAATATTTTTTTCAAAGTGTAGATCTCTAAGTAGAGTGGGGCTGGGGCAGGTGCTGCGCAGCCAGAGCAGGGCAAGGCGTGGGACAGAGCCATGAGCTGATCATCTGGAGGGTGTGGTGGGTGGGGGGCAGCTCCTGCCCTGCATGCATACCAGGAGGGCATGGGAGGCATGTGCCCCACACATCCCTCCCTACCACACACATCCCTCCCTACCACATACATCCCCTCCTTGCTCCCACATACTGGGGGCAGGGAGTAGCAGGTCAGGAGTGAGGAGCACCAGCAGGGCTGGGAGCATAGAGGGCTGTGGGTTAGGAGTGAGGGCCACTAGCAGGTCCAGGGGGCTGTTTTCTAGTTAAACTGTTTACTGGGTCAGGACTGGCCCTCAGTGTTTACAGATAGGTCCTGGGGGGAGTGCGCGCCCGAATCAGCATACGGGGTAGGGAAGGATGCCGCTGTAGGCTGGGGCTGGGGGCTGCACTGGGCTCTTCTCAGCAGGGGGTGGGCCTGGGCTGGGCTGGGCTTAGGGTGTGCAGCAGCAGCGCTGGGAGGGGGCATTGGAGGGCCTACAGCGAATTTTGAGGTGGCTACAGCCCCAACCCCATAGCTCCCTTCTCAGAGCTGCCACCACCTGCCCTGAGCACAGTGCAGCCCAGCCCAGCCCCCCTGGTATTTACTCATTGTGTTTTTACTGGGTCAGTGAAAATATACAAATCAAAAATTTTTTTAAATATTCCATTTCTGGTAAAATTCCCTTTTAAGTTTTCAGTCAGTACTGCAATATAGTGAGTGTGTAATTGTTGCAGGAGATTTTTAATAGGGTAAGACTGATAGATTCATAGATGTTAGGGTCAGAAGGGACCTCAGTAGGTCATTGAGTCCGACCCCCTGCCCTGGGCAGGAAAGAGCGCTGGGGTCAGATGACCCCAGCTAGGTGTTTGTCCAGTCTGCTCTTGAGGAACCCCAAGGTAGGGGAGAGCACCACCTCCCTTGGAAGCCCATTCCAGATTCTGGCAACCCTTACTGTGAAGAAGTTCTTTCTGATGTCCAACCTAAATCTGCTGTCTGTCCATTTGTGGCCATTGTTCCTAGTTACTCCAGGAGGTGCCCTAGTAAATAGAGCATCTCCTATTCCGTGCTGCTGTCCCCTGATGAATTTATAGGCAGCCACAGGATCACCTCTCATCCTTCTCTTGCGAAGGCTGAAGAGATCTAGGTTCCTCAGTCTCTCCTCGTAGGGCCTTACCTGTAGGCCTCTGACCATACAAGTGGCCCTCCTCTGAACCCTCTCAAGATTCTCCGCATCCCTCTTGAAGTGCGGCACCCAAAACTGGACGCAATACTCCAACTGTGGTCTGACCAGTGTCGCATAGAAGGGAAGTATCACCTCCCTGGACCTGTTGGTCATGCGTCTGCTAATGCATGATAAAGTACGGTTAACCTTGTTGATCACTTCATCACATTGATTACTCATGTTCATCTTGGAGTCAACTATGACTCCAAGATCCCTTTCTGCTGCTGTGCTGCTGAGAAGGTCATCCCCCAGCCTGTAAGTGTGTTGGTGGTTCTTTTTGCCTAAGTGCAGCACTTTGCACTTGTCTTTAATGAACTGCATCCTATTTTGTTCTGCCCATTTTTCCAACCTGTTCAGATCTGCCTGGATCTGTTCCCTATCCTCTGGTGTGTTAACTTTGTGAACTTGGACAGGGTGCTCTCTACACCCTCATCCAAGCCACTGAAGAAGACAGTGAATAGCGCCGGTCCAAGTACCAAGCCTTGCGGGACTCCACTGCCCACATCCTTGCAGGTTCATATCGACCCGTTCACCACCAAATAAGTTTACATGTAATATATATTTTTAAATTCTTGAAAACATTTCTGTTGGCCTTGTTTCTTAAAAGTGTTCTATTTGTTTTCCTTTTTCTGTTACTAAAACTAAATTTTGCACACAAGAAGACTCCTTTAACAGTCTTAGGCTGGATATGGGGAAAACTGTTGGGCTTGTTCAACAAAAGCCCCACTGTCTTTCAAAAAGGAGATTACTTTTGTAGGGAGGCAGGTTTTATCACTGTTGGTGCAGAGTGGATACGTATCAGTGTTCTCCATCTGGGAAGACACTCCCCAATTTATAGTAAAAGAATGGAACAATTTCCTCCCTGTTCCCTCCAAAATATTTCCTGCTCCTTGGTATTTTAATAGATTTGATAAGTATGTCTTAAGGTTTCTTTAGCCCATTTGGCTCTCTTAATTACTAAGGTTTAGCGGATGAGAGATTGTGACCTGAGCTTTTCAGCTATAGCCTTTAGCTCCCTTTATCTCCTTCAGCTCATTTTTTGTATTGTACCCACCCTTTCCCTATATGTCATTTCTGTCATTTTCTCTTTCCACACTCACCGCTTGTTTTCATAATGTTCTTCTACATCCCTCATCTCTTTGCTTGAGGCCTGGCCTCCTTTTCATATTTGTTGGTGCTTTCCTAAGACCCTTCTCCCTCAAAGCCTCCATAAATCAGAGATTGTCCCTCTGGCTAAGGAGGCCTGGGAATGCTTCTCTGGTGAGCTGGAGGGGACTGTCAGACAGTGAGGTGACCAACTCCCCTCAGGAGCTAAGGGTTGTGTGCTCACAGCAGTGCTAACACTTCTACATCAATATTGTTAAACAGAAAATCTCTGCGGATGCCCACATGCCCTGTAATTTATGCCCTGGTCTGGCCTCTTCAGATTTGAAGAGAAATGGAAAACTCCAAGAAATTACCCCTTGATAATAGCAACTGTGTGCTTGTCCCACTGCCAACAATGGGTCACATGCCAAGGAAGCTTCACCTTTCCGCCTCAAGAGGCTGAGAACTCAACCGTGAGCAGGCATTTCCTATTGCTGTGTTTGGCAGGCCTCTAGTTCTCCAAGTGAATGAATCACTTGAATATGTTGTTCCCTACCAGCCACCCCATCACAATACAGCTGCTGCTTTTTCCATCACAAATTGCCAGATGCATAGATTTGATAGATCAGTTGTATTTTATTAAATAAAGAGAAAAACAAATATACCAGAGACCTCCTAACATGTTATAAATATACTGTGTGTGGATTTCTGTTTCCAATTGACTGGTCCCATCACAAAGAATCCAGCCTGAGGGGTCCTGGAGTTGTCATATCCCTAGCACAGCAACGAAGGACAGAAAAGGACAAACAATCTCCAGATGCTGATTTATCTGTGCCAGCTCCCTCCTTGTTGCAATTACATTTTTATTAGACACTTCCACATTATTTAAACACTGTCCACTAGTTCAAAGCTCAAAATGTATTTATTTTTAAACTGAATTTAAATGATGGGATTAGAAATAAATATTCCCCTTACAGGCAGATTATTATACAGCTGCTCATATTCTTCTCCTTTCTCTTGGAGAACTCATTATTAACCACTCGCAGAGGCAAGACCAGTGAAAAACTTCTGGTTTTAGCCAGCCCAGCAACTTGTATGTTCATTAGTGTAACATTATGAAAGATTGTTTCAAGATTGCAGTTTCCAACACAAGGTTATTCCACCAGTCTCACTAGAAGGTCATTCCAAGAACTTGTGTTTATCAGAAGCTTGCCAAATACCTCTCTATTGTCTATGATTTTAAATGCCATTGGGTGCATCTACATGAGATGCTACTGCACAGCCGTTACTGTGCATTTATTCAATACTTGCTAAATAAATACAAGTACTTAGCAAGTACGAAATAAATACTCAGTAACTGGAGTTACTGTGTAGTAGCATCGGCAAACATCTTTTAGGTGATGCTACTGTGCAGTAGCCTAATAATACTGCACAGTAGCATATTAGCACTGTCTGTGCTGTGACACGCTACTGTGCATTATTTTTCATCTAGTGCACAGTCAGCAGCAGCTCATGTAGATGCACCCAGTTTGTGGTATTGGCTAATGTCAGGTCCTTAATCTCACTGCAGAGGCAATTCTTAGCAAGTGTTTGAATTTGGTGATTAGGAATGACACTGGGTCTTCATTCCAGTTGTTTTAATTTAATGCAGATACTTTTCTGGACTTTTTACTGCAGTCTATAAGCTTTTGGGTTGTTTTTTTTATTGGCAGGTAGAAAGTTCCTCAAGTATTCCTATGGTGGTACTGAAGGTCTTCTTCCCCTCTTGCTGCTCCTCAGCAGAAAGCGGTCTTTTGGTTGGCCATTGGATCCCAGAACAGAACTCTGCAGTTATCCTGGCTGTGGTCCATTTTCCTTTTATTCCTGTCCAGGTGAAGCAATACCTCTCTGAAGTCCGGCAAGTGACTCAGGTCAATGTTTCTGTACTGGGCACATGGAGTAACTGCAAAAAGAAGGAAGAGAGCTTGAGTGAGTTCCTGGAAGATCTTGGCACAATCTTTTCCCATGAGCCATGGATTCAACTTTGCAAAGAGACAGACAGCAAGTTTTGGAGTTGTTCTATTATTCAGAAACACCCCAGTACTCCCAAGGAAGATGAAATTATCTTGGTGTATTATGACCAACGCAAAGTAATGCTTTCGCACCTCCATCCCCCAGGGAACCTGACCAACTCCACTGATCACAAAGCAGAGGATGCCTCAAAACTAGCTATCTTGTTTGACACAGTGGCAAAGAGCAAGGTACTGTTTATGAAAGACAGATATGATGATGGGCCCATCAAGCTGACCCACTGGCAGTCAGAAGGAGTAGAAGCCAGTATAATTGTGGAGTTGATGAAGCAAGCTTCCATTCCTGTGTGTATGCTGCTGACATTTCTGCTTTCATTTGTCTCCAGTGTCTGTAAAAGCAGGTATGGCTCAGCTTATGTGCTGCA